ACTCTTACCCCCTGAACATTCTCCCCAGCCCCAGCTTTTCTGAATAGGCCTCCATCTCATCTGCAAATCAGGATTGTAGTGTTTGCTTCCAAATGCTTACAACTACTTTCTCAAATTTTATAGCTCATTACATTTGCCTGTATTTTTAAACTAATATAGTGACGACTGTTGGAAAAAGAAAATGTCTACCTTAAGGAGAACCTCACATACCCTGCTACCGGGTTGCCTTTTGGTCAGGGCATTTTATTACAAGCACCAGAATGGAATTGGGACATGTGGGTTCTGGGAATACAGACACCCACCAGGGCCTCCCCATGCTGTTTTGAAACAAGAAATTTATTTAAGATAGAGATAGCTCCTTTATATCCTTTGTTGGGTGGGGACCCTTTTTTTGAGTGGTATTTTTTCACAGGTCTGGTGATTCTTCTTTTTCTGACAACTGGGAGCTGGGGGAGACAGCTTCTTTTATAATCAAAAGTCCATTTTTGCCCAAATTATATTATCAAAGAAAGAAAGAAAGAGAGAGAGAGAGAGAGAGAGAGAGAGAGAGAGAGAAAGGAAGGAAAAGAGAAAGAAAGAAAAGAATAAAAATAAAAAGACTAAGAGGAATAGAGATGAAAGACCCACCAAACCAACAAGCCCCGTGCAGTATTGGGCCAGGTGGTAAACTCTGACAGGCAGGCAGGCAGACAGACAGACAGACAGACAGATGGCTTGCTTCTGAAAGCCTTACTCCCATGTCTTTGCTTAAAGCTTTAAGTCAAGAGAGACCACTTGGGTCCCTCCTGCTGTGGAGGGTTCTCTCCTGGTCTCTCCTCAGCCTCTCACCTATTGGCTACCTGAACCCTATTCTTGTTTTCTCTCTTTTGGAGGGGCCCAAGTAAGCAAGAGATGGCCTCTGTTAATGCATTGGTTCTTAGCCCTGTGACTCCAGTGTTCTCTAGGTTGAAGCAGTAGGGATAAATACTCTTGCTTGCTGGGACTTAGGTACATTTTCTCTTATTCTGTACTAGCCAGTATGACTTGCCTCCCCTCTTTATTGGTGTGTATAGGGACAATGTTACTATGTAGCCCAGGTTGGCTTTGAACTCTCTATCCTCCTGCTTCAGCTTCCCAAATACTGTGTTTCTTTTTTTCAGTTTCTAAAACATCTTTAAAAAGGCCAGGTGGGTTTTTCTCCTACACTTGATTAAATTTTTCTGTTTGGAGCCTCCACGTCTTTATCTTTCTGTCTCTGAGCCCATGTGTTTCACAGGCTCCTTGGGGCTATTCCATAACTAGCTGCTCTCAGCCAAAGACAGCCATTCTCACGCTCCCTCCTTTGCTTAGGAGGAAGGGTCAGCACTCCTGAGAAATAAGGCCAGGTCAGATCAGGGCAGAGCTGGCTCTACAGTTCCCCTGGCTCTGTACAGAGTTGAGCCTAGGAGCCATGGGGATGGGTGTGGTGGAGATTCTCTGTGCTCCAGTGATATCTCTGAGAGGTGAGATGATATTGGCCAGAGGGTGGTAATATCGACCTGGCCTGTGGAGATTAAAAAAAAAAAAGTAAATTTATATGGCTACAGAAGGTAACCAACAAACATTGTTGAAATAAATATCAAAATCCATGGTAGCATAGATCTGAGTCTTGTCTGATAATAAGCCCAGGAGGACATAAATACACACACACACACACACACACACACACACACACACACACACACACACACACGACAAAGACGTAGAAAGGAATTCAAAGAAAAAGAAACAGAAACAGGCAAGAACAAGAACAAACCAAACCTTTCTCACAGAGAGAGGCAAATTAAGGCAAGCAGTCCTTGTTCTCTTCCCCTCTCAGATTTGAAAAGATTAAGAGATCTGATAAACCAGTCAGCAGGCTGTGGGGAAGTAGACACTCTCATATCCGTTAGGAGGAACTAAAAAAAAAAAAAAAAAAAAAAAACAACCAACAGTCTCACTGGATGGCAGCTGGCAGTCTTTATCAAACTATAAAATGCCATCAAGACATGGTGGCTCGCACCTGACATCCCAGCACTTGGGAGGCTGACACAGGAGAATTATCGAGTTAGAAGCCGACCTAGGCTACATAAAAGTTTGTGTCCACGCAAACCTGTTTGTAAAGTGCCTATGTCTTTCTGTCTGGTTGACTCTGTCTAGTTAGTTGTTTATCCACAGTAACTAGCAAATCCTGACATGTGTGGTGTCCAGTGTGAGCCAGGCACTGTTCCGAAGGCTTTCAATACATGAATGCATTTAGTCTTTCCAGCAACAAGTAGATATGGCATTGCTATCACCTCCATTTTACAAAGAGTAAATGAAAACAAAGACTTCAGCCATGTATGCACGGATGTAGCCATGTATGACACAGGGATGTAGCCATCTACATAAACACGGATGTAGCCATGAATGTACACACAGATGTAGCCATGTATGTACACATGGATATAGCCATGTATGCATGGATGTAACCATTATGTACACATAGATGTAGCCATGTATGCACACACAAATGTAGCCATGTATGTACACATGTATGTAACCATGTATGTATACATGAATGTAGCCATGAATGTATACACAGATGTAGCCATGTATGTACACAAGCTACATGAATGTTTGTTCACTGTAACATCCTTACACAGGCAAAACATTCAAAATAACTACCACCATCAGGCCCCCCTGGTCAAAGGCATGACAGTACATATGTATGGTAGAATGCTGAGAACACCAGCAAACCATCTCTGTCATGCGTCTCTTGGTCACCTCCCTATTGCTATGAAGAGACACCACAACCAAGGCAACTTATAAAAGAAAGGATATCTTAGAATTCACAGTCCATAATCATTCCTAGGGTTAGAGTCCATGATTATCAGAGCAGGGACCATGGAAGCAGGCAGGTAGCTGAGAACTTACATCCTGGTCCTTTTAAACCTCAATGTCTACCCCGAGTCACACACCTCCCCTACAAGGCCACACCTCCTAATCTTTTCCAAACAGTTTTACCAACTGAGGACCAGGTGTTAAAACATATGAGCAGGAGGAGGGGGGGGGACATTCTCATTCAAATCACCACAATGTGGAAGATCTTGATAATATTTTATGAAGAAAGCAAACTTTACAATAATGTAAACAGTATAATTTATGTATTTAAAAAAATTTTAGGGGCTGGAGAGTTGGCTCAGAGGTTAAGAGCACAGACTGCTCTTCAAGAGGTCATGAGTTCAATTCCCAGCAACCACATGGTGGCTCACAACCATCTATAATGAAATCTGGTGCCGTCTTCTGGCCTGCAGGTGTACAAACAGGCAGAACACTGTATACATAATAAATAAATAAATCTTTAAAAAAAAAAATTTTAAAGATACACAATCTTGTTATGTGTGTTTTTTAGAAATATTTTACAAATAAGACTAAGCCTAAGAAAGTCATGGGATGGAGGAGATATATACTTTTTTCATTTTACATTTTCTGTGAGTGGCTTCTTTTTTAGTATATGATCTTTTTGGTGTTTGGTCTTCGAGCCAGTCTCATATAGCCCAGGCTGGCCTCAAACTCCCTAGCTGAGGATGACTTTGAACTTCTGATCCTCTTGCTTCCGCCTCCTGAGTACTGGGACTACAGGTCACCATGCCTGGTTTATGATGGGAACTGAGCGTAGGGCTTCATGAATGTTAGACAAATACTACCAACCAAGCAATGCACCCAGCCCTCGATATAAAACTTAAACTGAGTTAAATAATAGCATACGTGAAATTGTAGTGCTACGTGGCATGTGGAAGGAGTTAAGTGACTTTTGTATGGTTTATTTTTATATCATGGGTGTATTTCCTGCATCTATGTATGCGTACTATATTCATGCAGTGTCTGTGGAGGCCAGAAGAGGACGCTGGATTCCTGGAACAGGAATTAAAGTTGGGTGCAGGCCTCTATGTGGGTGCTAGAAACTGAACCCAGGTCCTCTTGGAAGAACAGCAAGTGCTCTTAGCTACTGGCACTTCCCTCCAGCCTCCTTAACTCTCGTTTCTAGATTGGGAGCATTGTGTTGTTGATAGAGTTTTGCACCCCCTGTCTTTGGGCAATAGGGACACCTAGCTTTCACTGTTCATGAGAACCCCAAATGGAGGCAGAAGGGTAAGAGGCCATTCTAGCAGGATTACAGAAGAGCTGGTGATAGTAATGTTTCCCAAAACTGCTCACAGCTTGCCAGGCTCAGCTGTGGGGCCAATGGACTCCTGAGGCCACCAACAGATGCCCCCATGGCCACCATGCTGCCAGATACCAGATGGCTGGAGACTGGTCACCTAGAGCCCTTCCCAGAGATTCCTCAGTTTTAACAAGTTCTTCCTTTCAGAGATTCTAGGAAGGTAAAAAGGCCTGGGATTCTTAAGCCAAAGAACATAGTGCTTCTAGAAAGAGAAGGAGCTCTTGGCTGGTTTGCACTTCCTCTACAGAAACAACCAGAGCTTTCCAACCCGGTACAAATCTCAGTGTCTCAAGAGGTAGGGCCCATTTCAGGAAGAAGGAAGCCGTAAAGCAAGGAGTCCAGGGGGAGGAGCCAAGTGTGGGAATGAGGCCTCAGCAGAAGGTAGGTACTGGGGAGCCTCCCTTTGCAGTTGTACCTGAAAGCTGGTCATCATGACATGAATCTTGCTGAGCTTCTGGGAGTTTTAGCTCTTCACACACGTCTCTTGCTCCATTCTCTATGACAATGTGGCAGCTAAGGGGTTGAGAAAGCTCCTCTAGATGGTAGAACAGTTAGATCAGACCACATAGCTATCTAGCAGTGATGTCAATGGTCGCTCTCAGTGTGCTGAGGGGCAGGAAAGCAGTGTCATATACAGGGCTTTGAGACATCAGGTTCAGCTCTGCCTCAGAACACCATCAACCTCGACATTGACAGGTTTTGTACGCAGACTCCCCAAGCTGTGTCAGACAGCCCTATTCTCTCTGGCTCTTCGTTTTCCTGTGCGGTTTCTAATGTCGTCTTTGATTTATTTCAGGTTCCGGAATTGTGTTTACACTTACAGGATTCTTCCCAATGAGGACGATAAATTCACTGTTCAGGTAAGTCCTGAACCGACTTGTGCTTTCTCTGAGAGAAAAATGAAAAAGAGAAAGGAAAATCAGGTCTCCCAAGTAGTCTCAATGGCAAGGACCTGGTAGAGCTTAGCTTTGTTCTCCCAAAGCTGTGTGTTTGGGGAACTCAGTGAATAATGGTGACTCTTCATAGATGACAGTCATAAGATGGTAATCACATATGCCAAGGATTGTTGATGGCCCATGGCTGTAAAAAGGACACAGTGGTGAAGGAAAGCCAAGCCAGTGGCTATGCCTTGATCCATTCTTTTGTTTGGCTACCACAGATGAGCAAATGTCAGTGGCCCAGGAAGCAGCAGAGGGAGGTGAACTTCCAAGAGAGATGGGAGATAAGATGAGACAGTGCCTTTAAATTCCCATAGCTCCCTTCTGCCCGACGCATCTGTCATGGCATCTGGATCACTGTAAAAAAGACAAAATATACAAAGCCATAAACGAACTTATTGATTGGTTGATGGGTTATGCCACAGTGTGTGTATAGAGGTCAAAGGACAACTTTCGGGGGTTCTAGTTCTCTCTTTCTGCCATGTGGGTTCTGGGGATTGAACTCAAATCCTGAGGCTTGGGTGGCAAGTGCTTTTACCGACTGAGCCATCTCACCAGCTATAGCTAGACTTTAAAAGGGAAACAAACAAACAAAAATGTCAGCAGTGCCAATCAAAGCCTGGGAAGACCACCCTTGCAGAGTTTGTGTGACAAATCCAGGGGCCTAGTCTGACCACGGCGTGTGGCAGCTGAGTGATGGGGAAGACAGGGAAGCTGGGTTTTGCCTGGCTTTGTTAGGAAAGCGTGGGAGTGTGAAGAAAGGAGGTGACAGCCTTGCTGTCCTCAGTAGAGGAGAGGGCTGTGTGTCACTAAGGTCACAGCGACCATAGTAAGAGCCACAGCATCATGTGGGACACATCTGTGTGAGCAAAGCAGTAAGGGAAGACAAGCATCTAGGCACCGGGTCACCAGAACTAGGAATAAAGTCTTCAGGGTTTTGCTGAAAAGAAAGAAGTGGAAGGGACAGGCAAGGCATGTTGGTGGCTTCCGAAACATGAAGCGAATGATGACTTGTTTAGGTCAAAGAGGTAGACTCACAGCTGCCTTGATGTAAAGGCAGTCCCCGAGCAAAACCCCCCAGAAACATGAAAGAGAGAGAAGTTATGAACAGAGAGAAAGCCTTGCAGGGCAACTCATGGTGGAATTCAAAAGAAACCACCTCCGTACTTCCACCAGCCGCTTCATCCAGAGACTGAGACTCGAAGGGGACCAGTTCCATCCAGATGTGACAAAGCTTCCTTCTAGGGGGAGGGTCTGCTCATACTGAGCTTCATGGGAGAGGCCAGTGTGGACCACTGTGGGCTGGAGTAATGCTCTGCTGCACAGCATAGCAGTCAGGCTGAGCACAGCTCATGCTTCTCCTTCTCTCTCGTGTGTGCATGAACACCAGGTCAGATGGAAGGTATAGTCTAGGGGTCAGGAAGTCCCTGTCCAAGCCCAGTCATTGGTGGAAATCACCAGAACAGATCTAAGCACATGTAAGCAAACATTCTCTTTAAGGTTAGAAGATGTTCGTCATTTGAATACTTTCTCAGATGTGGACTCCACAACCTCCTGAGGACATGGCTGGCTCAGGGAGGGTGGCTTAGGCACGTAGTAAGCTTTCATGGTCTCTGCTTTTTTTATCCAAACCTAGGACTGTGTGAACTTTGCCTGGTGGCATGGTGTCCTTGGCAGGTGGCTTCCCGCTAGGAGTCAACTCTCTTAAGTTAAAAGTTAGTCGGCGTCTTTGATCTTTCTCCCCTTTTGTGGTTTCTTTTGTTCCTTCAAAGTGAAGAAAACTTTAAGTATGACTGGAAAAGAGGTGACTCTGTGGCTTCTGGTCTCGGGTTTGTGCCCACAGCTTGTAAACCTGTAACTCCGCCTGTCTGGAGTCTGTGCCCACGTTCTCCTCACTCTTGCTTCCGTGGCTTCCTGTGACGCCATAAACGACCACAGACTTTCAGTGGGACTAGGAGTTTCATTGTGCTTTGGGGGTCCCTCTAGCTGGTTTTTGCAAGTGTCTACTGCCCTTGGTGGCCTGGAGGACACTAGAAAAGCCCAGGGTTTGGGACCAGAGGCTCTGGGGCCCTGACTGGGTTCTACCTCAGTGAGTCAGCTCTTCTCTGTGGGTTGCTCCTCCCCTGCTGACAGCACTGCCCTTCTCAGGTCCCCAGAGGGAACCTGATTGGCTTAGCCACCAACAGCTTTCTCTGCCTGAACCACTCACGGACTACTGAGCTCTTTCTTGCTAGGCTGTTAGGAAGCAGGTACCTGGGTGGAGACAGAGCATAGCCTCCTATGGCCACCTCAGCCAGGACAATTTTTACAGAAGAGATATGGCCTTGTTGAACATAATTATTTCCAGTCTTGGACTTGACCTAGGACATTCTTGGTCACCTATACCAGCTAACAAAGGGACAGGAAGCCATGGATCTAAATGGTCTGGGAAAGTCCCCACCTGTAAGGATATCTTGTCCTAAAAACACAAACAAACAAGCAGACAAGACAACAACAAACTCCACACACTTGCAAGTGGCTGGAGATGTTGCTCAATTGGTAGAGAACTTGTCTAAAATGTGCAGCCCATGGTTCAGTTCCCAAGTACTGCGTAACGCCTGGCATAGTATCACATAACTCTAATCTTAGCACTTGGGGATAGAGGTAAAGGGATGGAAAGTCCTCAGTTACACCGTGAGCTTGAGATCAGCACACATGGACACACATGTCTGCAAGTGTACAGAGCACACAATATACATGCTAAAACAAAGGATAACATAGGACTACTGAGGAACAAATCAAAGCTCACACCCTGTGAAGCCAAGTCAGAAACGTCCTTCAGGAAGCATTGGTACTGGCCGCTGCTTATTTTAACTCCAGTTCCTCTTTTCATGTTGAAGCAAAACCTGCCATTCTTTCCTGAGCTTAGCCACAGTTTCTGTATAACTCAGTCCTTACACCTAAACCTGCTTAGTGTCAGCAGCGACACACCCAGAGCCTTCATGGCCCCAGCTCCTCTCATGGGAGATCCTTGTCGAAACATCCATTCCACCTTCGTTCTTTCCTAAGAGTGTCTGTATCTCATGGTCCAGAAGGCCCACTGGCTGAGGAAAGCATGTCCCCCATCACCCAGGGACTCAACTCTGACTCCATCATTTATAGACCTACACAGTCAGAAATTCGAAGGATGGCGGCAGAGCTCCATTGGATTCTCTTGTTTAACATGCAAATGTTTGGAACCTATAGACACTAGAGTTCACAACCCTGCTTCCAAGCTAAATCTTCTTTCTTGGGGCTCAGAATATGTTTCCAGGCATGAATGGGTGCTGAAACACTTGGGCAAGATGGAACCCAAGACCATTTCACGGATGGGAGGCAGGGCAGTGGTCTCTCTGAGATGGGCCTTTGTCACCTATTTGGATGATATTTGATCATGAATAGCACTTGGCTGTGTGTCCCGTGCATTCAGGATTTTGCAGCCATGTGGCTTTGTTCAGGGACTGCAAAGAGACCAAACAAGAAGATAGAGTGTTACATTTCCCCTGCTGTGGTCACAATTCTGTCCATGGATGAGGAGGGTAGTCTACATGGAGGCCGTTGGTCTCTTTACTGCCCTCACTCTTAGTAAGGAGACATCCATGTCCAATTCTTGGTAAGAAGGGAGACAGCCACATGTATTTCCTCAGTCTGCGAGGTGAGAAAAGAATGGGAAAAAATGGGAAGAAAGTGGGAGGGAAAGAGATGCTGAGGACAGTTTAAAGGGAGGAAATGGAGAGCAAGGGAAAGATGATGAAGGAAGGAACAGTCAAGAAAGAGGAAGGCTGTGGATGTGATGGGTACAGTTTCTACAAAGGAAGAGAGGTGTGTGCGGGGCAAGAAGCTGCAGAGCGGATGCTGATAGAGGGTGAAGATGGAAGTGTTCTCTTAGGGCTGTGGAAGGTGTCTGTGGAGGATGTCTATCCCAGATTCTGCTCTGTGCACTGAAGCAAGGATCCACAGACACTGTGTAACAGTTTAAAAGCAGATCGTCAGACCCAGAGAATCTTCTGAATTAAAGTTCATGTGGACATCCTCTGGGTACCGTGTGAGGCCGGAGGCAGGCAGGATGCTGACTTAGCCTGTCAGGCCCCGGGTTCCCATGCCCAGATATGGGGTCGTGTGACTCCTGGGTCCTTCCTGAATCTACAAAGGAAGTGACTCTCCCCTCAGAGAAGTGGCATCCATCTTGGGCTGCTGACTTCAGAATGAGCTGTTCCCCCAGTTGCTGCCTTTTGGAATAACTGCTCCCTAGGAAGCAAGGGAGGGTCTGAGACAGGACAAGAAATCTTAACAGACAACTGCTTTGTGTCTAGGGAGGCTACAGAGCTCAGAGCAGCCTTTAGACACGATACCCCTAAACAGGTCCACCACTGAAACCAATAATTTCACTTGCTGCCCAATACTTCCTATGAAGAAGAAAATAGTCTGGCTCATGATTCCATCACACAAATATTTCTGCAAACTTCCTGTCTCTGCTGAGCTGGCAGTGCTGAGGATAAGGACTGTGAAAACTGGGGTACCGTGGGTTTTCATACACGTTCAGAAGAAGAGGGACTTTGAAATAATTTTTCCCACAGACGCCGAGGTTACTTTTTCAGACAGAAGGAAACCCCACTAGCCAGAGCCTGCCGTGATCTGTGTAGATCAGACAGACGTGTGACTCAAGTTCCTGGTCCCTGGTGATGTCTGTCACATTGCTTTGGGCAGTACAGCATCTGGAGAAGGAACAAAACCACGTTCTAAGAGCTGGCCTGTCACAAGCGTCGGGGAGGGTGAACGGTTGAGCCGTTGTTATGAAGTTCAGGAAGCGGGTGGCAGCTGTTATTGTTCTGAGTGGTCACCAAGTGAAATAAAGATTCCGTCTGAGCCTCTGGGCAAAGGATGTGGCTCAAACACACACTTCC